GGTATGCCGTGCATAGTGCAGTGTGACGATTTTAATGAAACCATGGTGCGAGCTGTCATCGAGGGTTTCAATACAGATATGGTGAAAGTACTTCACATTGATCACGGTCATTTCAGTGCAGTCCAACACAGCGATCTGTGGTCAATGGAGGATTTGGTAATTCTTTGAAGAGCAATATTTTGTTTGTCGGCGTTGTATTCAGTTTCTTAGAAAGAAGCTCTAAACGAATTTGACACCCTTTGTCTATTTTGTATCATTGATGAAATTTATGGGGAGCCCCCAAAATCATCCACATTCAGCGCAGAAGCCAGAAAGCTGGAATTTTACCAAGATTTTTCTAGCTAACATTCCGTCAAAGAGTTAAAATCGATGCCCAGGTACACCTAGCTCAGGTTTCGAACGCCTAAAAGTATTTGTGCAAATTTCTTGGCGGGGGGCGACTTCGGAGACCAGTCAGTATAGGAAGCTGAAACTTCATTGGGATGATCTATGTGAGCTAAGAATTTTAAATCTTGATCTGACACAAGCTACATCAGCATGTAACAGCTCCCCATACATGGGCCCATAAGAGTAGAATGGGCTGTGGCGTGTACCTACACGTTCGTCCAGACACCCTAAAGATATATGTAGTGAAAAGCGTTTTCGCCAACCAGAGAAACTGAAACTTTACGAGCATATTCTATACCAACGTGTGACTTAAATACTTTAAATTTGGCTTTAAAGCACGCCTAGGTTTCACGTGCGCGCAAGTGAGTATTTAGTTCATAGCAATCTTGGCATCCATTTGTCTCGTCAACCAGACTGAGCAGGAGGCAGTATTTTTCTGAGGATGCTTGCTGTTAATGTGTGGACCACCAAGTCTTGCCTGATTCAACTTGAAGCACTGCAGTGACACCCCACTAGTAAATGCGATCTTTTTATAAGATAGAAACATGGAAAAATGTAAGGTTTTCACTGGCAAACCTAGTGTGCCGCTACTTAATTGTGATTTAAAAGCGTCATCACAGTTTTGTAGTCTTCCTGAAAACAAAATGCTGTAATGGCGTTGCGAAAGGAAGACAGCATATTGTAAAAAAGAAACAGTAGCAAAAGTTTCAGCCAGAAGGTATTCGAAAGCATCCGGCACTAGCGATACCGTGTATTCTGGATTCTATCAACGAACTGATGCAATCAGATGGCTCAGTTCTTTGCGCAGTGAAGAAGGTTCCCGACAATGAGTGGGAGCTTCGTGTTTTGTTCAAGAAAAAACGCGACCTGGATGGCGTTTGGGTGGTCGAAATAATCGACGAACAGCACGCTGACATATCGTTTGCCTAGTGATTGGCTCTTTTTGAAAACTCTTCCACGAATTATTTGTTTATTACTCCCATAGCAGCTTCCAGAAATTATCTGTTTATTACTTTGTTAATTTTTAGACGTTCCCAAGCACTCTGTTGTTAAGCATTTTCGCACTCTCAAGTGAAATGGTGCTTGACAGAGCTGTCAGAAGTGCATTACGCTTTATCCATTGAGCTGTTGGCCCTAAAAAGATTTGCTTCGCGCTAACTGCTGCCAGCAGGAAAAATTTTGGGAACCGAGGAATATTTGAGGAAAATACATTGAAAAATTCAACAGGTAGCAAAGTACTCCATTCGCTGGCCAGTTCATGCCGTGTTGGGTACATGACCATCCTGTTCGAAGTGGTACTGCTATTACGTCCCCGCATTCTACAGTGTAAGCGGTTAGGTACTTGTAAAACTTTTTTACTGCTTGAGAAGCCGAAAATTCTGAACTATTTGTGATCATTAGCAGGCGGAACAGTCGTAACCTTTCCATATGCTCAGAGGGAGTAACTGATGATGTGTGACTCCCCGTATTTCTATCAGTTATCCGAAAATAAGTTCTGTTAAATCGATTTTTTTCGTTAATCATATATTCTCCTTTTTCTCGTATAATCTATTTTTCCATAACTAGTACTTTTATCATCGATATCGCAACTTCTGCTGCTTATCTTTTGCGAATTTTCTGCTTTTTTTTT